TATATATATATATTCATTTTCTTCATATATACTTCACACATGCAACAGGCTTGTGTTGTGATAGAATTTAAAAACATGATAGTTTAATTAAAAGACAGGTATTAAATCGGTAATTGGATGAGGAGGAAATATTGATTTCAAAATTAGAGGGTAAGGCTACTTACTTTTCGGAGGAAGTTGGATTTTATTGATCCACGAAAATTTGCTACATATGGCCTATTTATAGTCTCCGTTCCACTGCCTTTTGTCAATGGCGTTGGATGGCGGTGGATGTAGATTTTTATTTGGAAATCTCTGCCAGGTATTTTCTTTTTTTGGGAAATCTCTAGTATTCTTTTTATATTTTTATTAGAAATAAAAAACAAAATACACATCTTTTAAATATAAATAAATTTTAATTATTTTATCTTATTTAATAACATTTTTTAATGCATTATTTTTTTAACATTTAATTTTTTTTAAAAGTAATAAAATTTAATAAAAATAACTAACTTTTTTTAATATATTTTTTATAATAAAAAATAGAAAGAATAGGTATTTAATAATTGTTTGCGGTGATTTTGTAGATGAGTGATGGTGATGACACTATTTTTTCAGTAGTTTCTAGGATATTCATATGTTACTATTTTCTTTTAAATTTGCATCATGTTCTGACACGTTGCTTTCCTATTTTGGAATTTCTCTTCATGTGAACAGCAGTACACGTACGCAATAAGCTTGGATCCTCATCCTCCAATCTTCTTTCACCACCCTCTCTCCCGTAATAATAATAAACATAATTTAAATTTTAATCTTATAAAAAATTTGCAGGAGACCAGGTCATTGTAAGGGGATATGCCGATCTGGAAACAACCTTTGGCCAGGGCGCTCAGATGAAGACGGTGGTTGTTCGGTATCTGGTGGTCAACGCGCAGTCATCCTATATTATATTGATCGACAGGCCGACCCTGACCAAGCTAGGAGCGGTGGTGTCTACTTCCCACCTGAAGGTGAAGTATCCGCAGCCGAATGGTACTGTGGGCACTCTCCGAGTGGACCAGGAGGTGGCTCGGAAATGCTATGGCGACAGTTTGAAGGCACGAAGACGACTGTATACAGAACAGGTGGAGCAGGAGGTCCACTCCATCGACCTAGACCCCAGAGTGAGCCATTTTGATCGCCGACCAGCCCTTGCGGAAGACATTAAGGAGGTGACGTTGATGGAGGGAAAGAAGGTGAAGGTTGGTACATCCCTCAGTCAAGAGGATGCCGAGAAATTGGTTGAAGTGTTAAAGGCAAACGTGTCAGCATTCGCGTGGCACGTCAAAGATATGCCAGGAGTGGACCCCGATTTCATGTGCCACAAGCTAGCCATCGATCCACGCAAAGCCCGTCATCCAAAAGAGGAGGAAGTTTGGTGAGGACAAGCGCAAAGCCATTGCTGAAGAAACCGACAAGTTGCTAACAGCAGGATTCGTCCGAGAAATACAATACCCGACTTGGCTTGCAAATGTTGTGATGGTACGAAAAAGCAGCGGAAAATGGAGAATGTGCACAGATTTCACCGATCTAAATGTTCTTGCATGGCTTCCCTGAGCTCTGGTACTCATGGCGCCACCAGATCCTCGCTCTCAGTTCCCTAGGATACCGTGCCGTGGCTCCAGATCTGCGTGGCTACGGTGACACGGAGGCACCACCTTCGATCAGTAGCTACACCTGCTTTCACATAGTGGGTGACTTGGTTGCGCTTATAGACTCTTTGGGTGTGGAGCAAGTGTTCCTTGTGGCTCATGACTGGGGTGCCATCATTGGCTGGTATCTCTGCATGTTTCGTCCTGAGAAAGTGAAGGCCTATGTCTGCCTCAGTGTTCCTCTCCTCCACAGAGACCCCAACGTCAGAACGGTAGATGGATTGCGTGCTTTGTATGGAGATGACTACTACATATGCAGATTTCAGGTTATTTATTTCTCTGAAATGAAGTGAGAATTAGTTATATGTGCAATGCATGGTAGATTAGATGTTAATTATGAGAATAATTGTGTGACAGAAACCTGGCGAAATGGAGGCTCAGATGGCTCAAGTTGGGAACGAGTATGTCCTCAAAAACATCTTTACAACTCGCAAGCCTGGTCCTCCAATTCTTCCCAAGGGAAGGTTTGAATTCAATCCGGAAATGCCTAACACCTTGCCCTCTTGGCTCACACCAGATGATCTTGCTTATTATGTCTCAAAATTCGACAAAACTGGCTTCACTCCAGCCTTGAACTACTACAGAAATATGAACTTGTACCTACACTCTCCAAATTAATGTTTGTTTTTAGGGGGAAATATTTGTGCAACATGGCTGCTGGGACCTAAATTAATTAATTCCATTTATTTGCAGAAATTGGGAGCTGACGGCACCGTGGACTGGAGTGAAAATTGAGACGCCGGTAAAGTTTATTACAGGTGAGTTGGACGTGGTATACACCTCGCCCAACTTTGAGGAGTATATCGACAGTGGAAGTTTCAAGCAAGATGTGCCAAATTTAGAACCAGTCATTGTGCAGAAAGGTGTTGCTCACTTCAATAATCAAGAAGCAGCAGAGGAGATCAATACTCACATTTACGATTTTATCAACAAGTTTTGATCTCATTCCGAAAGCTCTAAATTATTCATCTACTGGAGTGGAGAAAACCCCTTATCCACTCATCCTCCATGCTTGTGTGTTATAATATGTTGTAGCCGCTATAATTTATAATTTCTTTTTCAATCTTATCATGTTTATGTATTTGGAATTGAGCTTTAATGCTTGTGTATGATCTCGATACTATCTCGTATAATTATGTGATTTATGTCAAACCAAAATAATGTAAACTTTATAATTAATATATCATGATATTAGGGGTTCTTCAGATCAACAGTTTAATATCTATTTTATAATTAAAATATCATGATATTAATTTATATTACAAACATTATATATATTTTTTTGTCTTATTTCATTATAATATATATAAACACGTTTTTTTTTCTTTCTACATGTTTTAAAATATATTCACAAATTTGCATGTAATTTTAATGAATATTGTACAATCTAATTTAGATACACCAAGTCGAGCTGTAACGCTTAACTAAGACACATTAAGTCGAATTTACAATCAAACATGATAATATCACACTATATCTCAAAAATCGTAAAAATATCTGTAGGTATTTTTCTTACATTTGTTAGTTTTTTATTTTACTAATTTTTAAATATTTATTTTTCATGCAAATTTATTTTTCGGCATGAAATGGACTTGTGTCATATTTTACTTAAATAAATCTTCCTTGGAGGCTTTCATTATCCAAACATGAAGCTCTGAGGAAGAAGACTCATCGCCCATTCAAACTAGTTCAATAAAACGCCAAGGTTTGGTTTGGCGGCTACGATTTTGTCTTCTCTACATTGCCTTTGGTTCCGATTCAAAACCTTTTCTCCTTAATCTTTTCAAATCTCTCTTCAAACTTTCAAAACATTCACTGGCTATCGTTTTTCCTTTGCAAATTCGCCATTTCAATTTAATTGTCATGTGTTTGTTGTGAATTTCAGGTTCTCTAAGAAAGATTTCTTGTGTATGGCGGTAATTTAATAATTGGTCGAGAGATACCTTGAAGATTAATTTCATATTTCCAGAGTTGTACTGAGGTAGCTCTAATTTATTTCTCAATTTTGGTTTTCAACACTTACATTTCTCAGTTTTCATTTCACGGTGGTTTTTCTTTTGTTGTAAGATTGTTTTGTAAAATAATTTGATTTTATGCTCATGAAGTTTAGGGAACAACTGAAATCGAGTGAATAACAATTTGATTTTTTAATCTATGTGCTTAATTGTTTATGTTTTGTTGCTACTTAAGATTATGGTTCTTTTTCCAATTGAAACAGAGACTTGTTAAATTAGCTGGTCCAGAAATTACAAAGCCTCCAGGTTTAAAGATGATTTGTTACCAGGTCTAACTATTATGAGCCTTAGAGTACCTTAGGTGTATATTCACAAAAGTCACTTCTAATTTCATGGCAATGCATCAGTTGTAGAACATCAAATTACATTCTTTCCTCTTCACTCTTCTAGATTCTATTCTACATTGAAAATAAGACACGTAAATAGATCAGTAAAACTAGTTATGATGCAAACAAGGATATTTATGTCTTACTAGCTTTCTTTTATTTTATAGTTAAGTAGTGTGATATTATTACTTTTCAGTAGTTTTGTCTCCATATTAATTTTCTTTTTGCTAATGTATTATTCAATGGTAAACGTTGCTATACAGGGGTTGTTTTTATTTTTGGTTATCATGCTAATGCAGATTGTTAGCAAAGTAGTGAATTGATTTGTTCTATTCTTTTATTAGCATTATTTACAGTGACATTATGTATTTGTAATGGTTTGTTGAGGACTAGAGACATTGATATTAATAACTAATTTAGGACTATTTTGATTTGTTTTCTTAAAGCTTTAGATTGCCATGTGTAGCTTTTCACTGGAATGCGTGAGAAAGGTATTTTTCTGAAAGGGAACTCTATAAAAGGTCGGTTTCTGCTCTTTACCTTTTGATTGTTATTGTTAATTGGGTTTGGACTTTGGATATCTCATGGATATGCCTTGAAATTTTGCAGTATCATCACAAACTGAACTAATTAGTGCTCTTCTTGTAATGGTATGTCAAGTCCATTAGAATTGATTATGTTAAAGTTGTTACTTATCTTTTTCTTTGGATCAGTATAATGTATTTTATTCCACTCCTTCCCCTTATTATGCATTATTGAAACATTAAGTTGGGACAATAATTTGTTGTCACAAGCCAATGAATGAATCACGTTGATGCAAGCTTGAAACTGGATCAGGACCTAGGGAGCTTATTAGGAGCTGAGAGTGAGAGCAGCAGTCCCATGATCATAGTAGTGAAGTTTCTCAACCTTTTCACAACCTTTGCATTCAGTCTTCAGGTGTAACTGTTTACTTTGGACTCGCTTTTGCTGCAAGTGAGGTTAGGACCTATCCCTTTTATATATATTCCATCTTTTCACTGTATTTTTTTTTTTTTTTTATTTCTAATTTTAATGTTCTCCTACTAATTCTGCATGTTTCAATGCAGTTTTTCACTTCAAATGGTTTTCCTTGTCCTCTCTTGATTCCATCTGATCATTTACTAAAAACCATTAACAAGGATTTCGATCAGGTAATTAAGTTGATCATGCTTACATGGAATTGCTGCTTTATTCGTATTTCAATTTTTCTACACAGCAAGATACTGGAACATAATTGTAGTCAATAAAACTCAGAAATCTGATTGAAATGCTTTTTTATTTTATCAGGACATTGAATTGAATTTAGAAGGGACTGAAACAATACCCCCATCGAAGAATATAGTATTTAACATAGTCACAGGCAAGTCGATAGTGTTGAACAATCTCTTCCACTTTAGGCCAGCTATATATATCACAGCTATTTCTTTCTTTTTTGTAATAAAAAAACAAGAGAATTATACTTCTCAATACACTGGTTCTCCAACACTCTGCTCCCCTTCTCTGCCTCTGTTTGTTTTTAATATATTATCAGCTAATTAAAAACTATTTTAAATATAATTGAATATAATTTTAAATATAATATTTATCTATGCGATAGTAGTAGAACCTTTCCAGTGCTTTAAAATGTGGACCAGTCTGGACATGGTAAGGTAAAGCTCATAAGAAATTATGAATTATTTGAAACCAAATGTGAAAGCTAAAGCCACAATATGTCTTTTCATAGAAGGTTTAAAGCTAAATTTATGAATTCATTATTTTGGGGAATAATAAAAATAAAGAACGTAGAGTTTTGCATTCAATATGAAACATTTCACTGTGTGGAATTGAAAATATATGAATTTAGCATAGATAATAATCTGGAGCTACTTTGGTATTTAATGGTGTGTTGTACAAATTTTGCATGACATAAATATTGGTTTTTATTATAGAAATATTAGTTTTATTTTATCGTTTATCTTTCTGAACTAATATTTTCACTTTGTTTTTATATGGTACAATGTTTATTTTGGCCTAAAAGGAGGAAGCGTATTGCACTTTTGGTTTGAATGATCCAATATATTTAACATAAAATTACATTCAATTGAACTGGATATCATTTACTGTGTTTAGTAACAATGAAAGATATGAAATAGAAAATTGATTGAACAATCCGAAATATATAATATAATATAAATATTAAATTATATAATATAATTTTATTGTTCGCATCATATATAATAGTAATCAATTTATTTATATGTATATATTACATAAAATAATATAATTGCTATTTTTTAAAAAATTCACAGAAAAATTATTTATGAAATTTCCTGTAAATTTAAAATTTCATAGAAAACTTATCTGCGAATTTTGAAATCCAGATGAAAATTACATGCGAAATTTCTTATAGATTTTAAATTTGCAGCAAATTTTTTTTTACAAATTTTAGATATGTGGGAAACTTTCTTGGGAAAATATTCGCAAAAAAGATTTCTATGGAAAAAATTAACAGAAAAATATGCTAGAAATTTTCTTTAGATTTAAAATTTGCAAAATCTCGAAATACATTAAAGAGCAATACAAGAATAATATCTCCACGATTATGGAAATACTCCATAATTACCATGCAAGACCGTTTCATGAAATCATGTGATATAATTAACATGTATAAATAAAACATCAAGTATCATTTTTCTCTAACTTAATTAATTCTTAATTTAAACTCACCTTTAATTTAAGCATTGGATTGTCTTCGTAAGAGTTTCTCATTCTCACGGATACTATGACAACCATAAGTAATTTCACTGTGAGAGCATTTGCGAATTTATGTAAGAATATTTTACATGATCATAAATTTGGTAAGTTATATATATATATATATATATATATATATTGATATTACATATTGTGTTATTTTATTTAATAGCAATTAAGGAACTCTTAAAACTACTTATTTATTTATTTATTAAAATAACTCCTAACACAAGTAGTAAACAAATAATATTATGCGAATAAAAAACAAATAATATCGTTTTTTTAAAGTGTTGTTTATAATAATTAAAAAATCTGCTGAATCTTCTATTATAGTATGTGTAGATATTAACACATTTTTAAATACTTAATAATTTATATTATATATATTATTAATTTTTGGTGGTTTATTGTGAAGGATTACATCCGATCATTGGCAAACTGCATACCAAGAATAACACTAAAATGCAAATTAATTTATTGGAAAATGAGTTCCAGATTGTTTGTACAAGTATTTTTTTTCAAATCTCTATCGTTGTGTTTGGTACTAAAGAAATTAATAGTAAAGAAGGAACACAAATAATATTGAAGAAATGAGATGCTAAGTTTGGTGCAAAAGAAATGTGTCAGTGTAGAGGTAAAATATGTGGGGTTCACTGAAAATAAATTTCTTAGCTAATATGTGAAGAAATGCACGAGAAATGTTACCATTGTTATTTTTTATTTCTCTCTCCCATTTTCTATTTCTTTTACTTTACTGATGTTTGTCTCTTGTTTCTCTCGTTTCCAATTTCCAGATCTACTAAGAAGAAGATAGATCTGCTTTATAGGTTTCTTTTTATATCTTTTTTATATTATTTTCCATTTACATATATATTGCATTATATATTATTACTTATATTACTTACTATTTATTAATATTTACATAGAAGTATCAAAATTAGCAACATATATTAAAAAATTATTATTAATTAATATGTGCAACTATAAAAATTATTACTTACTTTTTATTTACTATAATAAAATTATAATTATTAATATTATTCTATTACAATTTCTTTCTTCTCCATCCACCCAAATCAAATAACTATACAATATTATTTCCATTCTATTTCTCACATATTTCCTTTAAACCAAACAAACTAATTTTTACTCTATTTTTACTTACTTATTTCTCTCTTTTCTATTTCTTTCCACTCTATTTCTTACCTATTTCTATCCCCTAAACCAAACAAATTCTTTTGTCTTTAAGTTTTCTCATAACAAGCCTTTTCATGCGCTCGATCTTTTCAAAGTGTAGTTCATTGTAACTTGTCTTCTCACAAGACTTTTATAGAGATATTGAAAGTATACTACGGGTGTTTCTTTTCAGTCTTAAAAATATAAATGTTGGTAATGTTATAATTACTACATTAAAGCCCATCACCAAAATGTCACATTTGAAGCGATAAGATACTTTGCTTATATCCTTTTTTACTACTTTCGTCGTGAAATAAGTAGAGCCTTATATGTTTATGCCTCCAGGTACGCAATCACATTGTCATGTCATCTTGTTTTTATGGTTTTCAGTTCTTTTAAAAAGCATAGCATATAAGCTTCTTAATTAACTTATATATCAAATAATGTGTTATTTGAAAGACTAATCCTTTATTTAGGATCAACATTTTCGGTGGCTCAATAGATGAAGCTTTGATGATTGTGATTGTGATATATACTTCCTTCTGTCTTGATTAATAGTGTGTATGGCTTTATTATTTAGTTCTATATTTGTTTTTTGAATTAATTTAAATACTCCTTTAATGGAAGTAAAATTAATTATTTAATCGAATTTTTTTAACAACATTTAATTGAAAGTGAGGGTTTAAGACTTATTTGTACATGAAATATTTACTTAATGACTAGTAATTAATTTGAAGTTATTTTAGTGATGTTAATTAATGTGTAAGATTAAGTTTTAATTTTAGAATAACTTGTCTCTTTGGGCTTTCTATATATGTATTGAAACAAAAAGTAAAAAGAACGAGATGTGAAACAAAATTCCTCATCCTTAACATCTTTGGTTACATCTTCCATATTTGAAAGTATTTTACAATATTTACTTTGAAAATATTTACTTTGTGTGTGGTGTAATCAAGGTCTTGATACCTCTTGCCATATATTTTTTTAGTGTTCCTTTGCATACCAGGTTTGGATGTTGTGTTTGGAATGGTGTGGCCTCTTTGCTGCTCATCAAAATAATTTCATATCTCATTTTGAGTAATTCTTAGGCCTTCCGAGTTGTGTTGCTAAAAATCAATACAAATGGGGGGTGATTTGATTGGCTTCAATTTAGAGTATTTGGTTGGCGAGAAATGAAACTGTATTTGGTAATAAATTCACATCTCTAAAGGATCTGGTTGAATTGATAAAACTACCCTCTTGGAAGTGGTTGAAAGTTAAAGATCTTAGTTTTTACTATCCGTTCTCTTGTTGGTCAGGACAACCTGCTGCATGTCTTAATCTTTATTAAGTTGTCAACATTAGTGTCTCTAGTAGTTATGTGTAACAGCTTTTGAATTTGGTTTTTAATGATCTTCGCTAATTACTTTTGGTCTGGTTTTTTTAGTTATACCTTGCAGGTTACTTAAGAAACTAGATTTGTCTATATAGTTTTTGTTATTTTTTGTAACTGTTTATAGGTTGGAGTACCCCTTATACTCCCTTTTAATATATTTCATTTTGCCTAGAAAAAAAATATTTACTTTGAAAATATTCTTAAACAAGTGATCACGTATAACTTTGCAAATTATCATACCATATTCATATATTTAGAATGAGTTTGATATATAGTCTTTTCGAAAATATTTGACTCCCATCCTAACTTCTCTTATTAAGATTTAGTCATATTTTAGTCTCTCGAAATGTCTTTCGTATAAATTTATCTTACTTAGTTTTCATGTTTTTGATTTCTTAGTCAGAAAAAATAAAATCTTTTCTTAGATTTTTCCATTTTGAAAAAAATTATTGAAAGAATAAATTTGAGAGGAATAAAAGAAATTATTTTATTAATACAACACTTATAATATTTTTCTAAGTAATTTCAACACATATATATAAAATTTTGTTTATTTCCATTAAAATTGAGAATTGAGTCATGTTAGATTTAAAAGACACATTCTACATTAGTTTTAGAATTGATATTGGAAAATTTTTCTATATTTTTCTAATAATTACAACTAATATAGTTTTAGTCGACGCTGTAATTATATAAGAAAAGTCTTTGTGTTTTTAAAAATACTTATTTATACTTTTTTTTTATCCAATTTAGTGTAATTAAGGAGAATTTTAGTCTTTATAGTCTTAATTGCTCAATTTTTTCATTATACACTAGGGCAATTTAACTTTCCAACGAAATTTTAACATATGTGATGACATCAAAAATCTATTTTTTTTTTGTTCGTCCCTGGAGTATCCACCGCCGACAGCAGTGACTAATCTCCTCGCTACGTTGGAGGCACCTAAAAGGGTGGGATAGCTGGTCCCGAAAAATCTAATTTGATTAAGGTTACTGGTTTTTGCCGATAAACATATGACACGGTTCAATATAATGTGTGTTTCTGACTCTGTTGACAATTCACGTTTCCTCAAATTTTCACTTCATAACGCAACAAAAAACAACTATTCTCTAATTCACGTTTGAACAACGTGAAACGAGCAAAATGTGTTCACAAATAGATGTTTATGTCGACAAAGTGTTTTCAACAACGTAAGACGGCTTCTCTTAATCGTTTATTTGTTTAAATTTATCATATTTTATTTTTGTCTTTAAATTCAACTTCAAT